GGCTAATCAACATATTTTTACTTAGCGTCCTCATGATCAACGTTGCGTTAAGTGGCATAGTTTACTTAGCTCATCAACTAGCATACTTTAGTTAGCCCGACTCTACATAACTTCAATAGCATGTTCTTAAGATGTGGCGTAACTACCTCAGCCTTACCATGACTTGGCATAATTAGCTTGGCCATAGCATGTCTTGGCATCACTATTTAAGTATACCTTACAGCCAAAAAATGACAGCATATACATAGAGGGAATGATGATGAGTGCGGCGAAGCTTCGGAGAGTTTATCGGTATAAACTGTGAATCGTCTGTCTGTCTGTCTGTCTGTCTGTCTGTCTGTCTGTCTGTCTGTCTGTCTGTCTGTCTGTCTGTCTGTCTGTCTGTCTGTCTGTCTGTCTGTCTGTCTGTCTGTCGGTCCACACCTGCTGAGTGAGTCATTGAACTAGGCAGTCACGTACCACGTGCTAGGAGGGACAGATCCACGACTTTAGGAGCTTCACCCATCATATAGCTAATTAGCTGGCCGCACATGCTCGGGTGCTAGCTGGCGATGACAAGAAAGACGACGCGCGCGGGCCGAGTAGCGCACTAGAATGTACACTGTCGTCCTTTATGAAAGGGAACACGTGAATGCGTGGCCGGTGCTCTGCAGCGGCTGACTACAGCACCATCAACCGACAGCAAAAGGAAACACGTTCGCTTTCAGCGTCATCTGTTGTCAAAAAAAAAAAGTTATGGCCGGTAGAAAAGCTCTGCTAGATTGCACTCCCTCTCTGCTCACGCCTGCAGTGCAAGCTGCAGGCTTGACCACGCCGTAAGCTGAAGTAATACCCCGCTATCGCTCGCCGCGCGAGCCACGAGAGAACGTAATCTAGCAGCGCTTGTCCACCACCAATGACTCGTTACCTTGCTTGGTCATAGATGACGCCAAAGTGGCAAACGTGCTTTCTTCACTTGCCGGTTTATGGTGCTGTAGGTAGCCGCCGCAGAGCGCAGGTTTTTCGTTCGCGTGTTCCCTTTCATAAAGAACGACAGTGTATATGCTGGCCGTGCTTATTAACACGTAGCATCAGGTTTAGTTGCAGTTGCGTTGTTGTAAGACGCTCGGCCGGTACTCATCTCGGAGGCAATCGTGCTGATTAACAGACTTAGTGCAGGCATTGAAAGCTTCAAAAATAAATTAAACACCCAGTGACTCTAAAAAATACTATCACGAAATGTTTCTGACGCTTTTATTTTATGGGTGCACTTTTGCACTCAGTGGAACGGCAAACAAAGGAAATAAGATGCATCTGATTTAAAAGCACGTCGATTTAAAAACTTTTAAAAACACTTAGTCGACCGCCCTTAACGCGATGACTTGTTCTATCGTAGCCAATGAAACGAAGCGTGCTGAGGGGTGAATTTGACTTTTTCGTACTGTTGGCTCGTTCATAAGGGGGTGTCGCCAGAGCTCGTGAAGATCCCGAGTTTCGCTAACTCGGGTGATACTCGGCCGATCCTGCATAGTGCCCCAAGTATGTGATTATCCACCCAAGCTCTATTCAGTGCTGCTTACGAGTTTAAAAATGTTACACAATAAGAAGACTGCCTTCGCAGCAGTCAGTGAACCATGTCGACCCGCAGTGTCGAGTGTATACATGGGCAGTAAACCACTGTGCTCGAACAAAAACTGCTGTCGTGCTCACTGTTTGGAGCAGGTGTTGTGGTCACATGTGTATACGACTTCATATTTGCCACAGATAAAAAAATTTATTGCAAATGTTTTATTGCGTTTTTCATGCTACTATTCCGTCATTAGACGCTCTGAGCGATAAGCTTTCCGTTCAGCAAACGAGAGCAGGTACCCTATAAAATTGCACGTCGATTGCTTTAACAATTTGCATACTGTCGGGCTGATTCATAGTAATTGTCGGGGTTTAACGTCCGAAAACAATAAGATTGAGAGACGTTGCAGTAGAAAGCCTCGAAAATTTGTACCTCCTGGGCGGCTCTGGAATGTGGGCCTAAATTTCAAGCATTTTTGCATCCATCATAAATGCGGCCGCCACGGCCTGGATATCGGGCACCATTTCCCGTACACCTCCGCGACGGGTGTAGGACGAGTTGGTGCAAAGCTTAACGAAAAAGTTGCAACGCAAACTGAAAGCGAGGAAACGAGGAGAGAAACGATGATAAGGTGCCAGTGTGTATAGGAAGTGTATGAGCCAGACTCACACGTGTACTGTAGATTGAAATGATGGTAAGACGCACCCACCAGCTTTTGCTCACGCGTGGAACACAATTTCTGTAGAAGCTTCAAATACCCGCTACGATGGTGTGGTGGCTAATGCCCCTGCAACACGGCTAATCTATTGTCATTTACAACGAATGTTATTAGGTGGACCAAATGCCAATTTACCTGCGTGCTGTCACCACAAGAGGGAAACAAAATAATTTCGAAATGATGACCATTACTTTAGCCCTCCTGAACTGTGGCTTTGGGAGAAATAAAAATCTAATAAAACTTGCACATGACATGCGTGTATACACTAAAGTATTTTTTGTGAGAAACAAGGTGCTCATAGAATGTAAATGCGGTCGTTTTACACAGCTCCACGACACACTCGAGAACCAAAAAATGGCCGACGATATGACCAGGCGTGAGTACAGTGAACTGAAGCTGGGTGCATGACTGAATTCCCGGCAGCAGAAATGAGACGGCGAAGTGATTTCGTGTGGTCCCGTCCAGAAGTGCAATCGGGCAATCGAAATCTACCGTACAGGCAACAAAAACAGCGCACAGATGAATCATGGCCAGCGTTTAGTCACTGTAGTGGATAGTAGCTTCGTTTTTTAGAAAGTTTCACGCGTGCTATTATACGATCAAACCAATAATAAGTTGATCTATTGAAAATGATATGTACAATCTATAAAAGTTAGGTATACATAAATTAGCAACCATATTCTGAAAAGTCCCTGGCGTTGAGGTCACCCATTTGGTCCAAAATTGAATCATAATAATCGGAAACTCATTCGACCGAAAATGCCATTTTCGTCAACATTAGTTTCCCGTGTGATAGCAAACAAGGGACATTACAAACGAATGACATTCGCTGTAACTTGCATTGGGTTTGCCGTGTGACAGGAGTATAAGGCACTGAAGTGCTGACCCGCATGTCGCGAGATCTAATTCCGGCCGTGACAGCCACATTTTTTTTTTTTTTGATGGAGACGAAAAAGCTTGAGGCTTGTGTGCTTAGATTGAAGTGCACGTTAGAGAACCCCAGATGGTCAAAATTTTCGGAGTCCTTAAAGAGCGCGTTTCTCATCATATGGTGGTTTTGGGACGTTATATCTATACAATGATTATTATTGTTAAAAGCCTCAAGTTGAATGACTTCGTGCAAGAAAGAAAAAAAGTTTTAATGAATCGGTACGGGTGTTTTACACTGTCTCTAGATCATCAGGCTAGCCCGCTGGTTCGGCTCTCCGTATAAAGGCTGATGCCTGACGTCATGTCTGTTCTTCGATTACCTCTGACAGTAGACGGCAAGCGCGGTGCGCACGCTTAGGCATTCTGCTAACATTGCGCGTGCAGTTTTCAATTACCATCTAGAGGCGCCTCTAGCCTTTCGCTGGGAATCTTCCCTCAGCGTAAGGCATAGTGCATGTTTGACGAAGAGCAACGTTTGTATGTCGGCGTTTTTTTGTCTGAACGAGCACTACACTTCCGTTCGAGAGACATGGTGAGCCGGAATTTCGTTGTTACTCCACATTTTTGCAGTAACGGGTTACATGTAATGCCGTTACCGGAACGCCTTGCTTGTTTTGGTACTTTAGTGATGTACTCGTTACTAATTCGTGAATGTAACGGCTAACATAGGTTAACACATTTCGGTGACGTCAGGAGTCGCGTTATTCGTTACTTTTTTTTCATTATGCCAAGAGCCAACGTCTCGTAGGCGCTGCATTCTCTAGGCTATCCATATGTCGCAGCAGCGAATCGCTATCAGCTTGCCAGATGCCAATAGGAGCACCCTTAAATACGTCCACCAAGCGCATATTTACCGTAAAGCTGCGAACGAATTTACTACAAAGCGAGGAATTAATTTTTGCTGAAATTGTTGGAGTTGTAATGGTCAGAAAACTGTCCCTGCAATACTATAGCGCAGTTTGTCAGTTCTGTGGTGAAAATGAGATTTGCTTCTACCTGATTCAAATGGTTTGTATATGTTTATAGTTGTTGAATTCCTGAACGAGTGAGGCTGACCTTGAGCGCCTTCTCATACGCACTCGCAATTTTCGCGGAAATAATATAAGTTTCAGTGCCAAACATTATTTACGCTGCAAACGCTTTTTCGAAAATATGCATTTTAAGGATTTCTTTATTCCTAGAATACCCGCGAACATTTTTTTAACACTGGTAGACGCACACACATAATTACTCCATATTTGTTGAGTTGTCAGCAGTTTTTTTTCTTTCCGAGTAGCTTTTACGAAACGTCATTTTCTGTTTACTATTATGTCGACAATGTCTTAAATGTGTGACCTGACTTTATAAGCCATCGTGCGCAATGCTGCTGTTAACATTAGGCTACTTTATTATTACTAGAGTCCCACACATCTGCGCAAAAGTCTTTAATTATATTTGTAATTCAGTTGAAATTAGTGTTTTCGCCAGACTATTTTTGTGAAATATAAATATTCAATTTATTCACATGTTCTTATTTCTAGAACGATGGCGGAAAGTAGATGGAAAGATGTGACCGTGGAGTAATGGCAAAAGTAACATCTGTTAATTTTTTCGGTAGCACTAACGCATTACTTCTTTTGCCGGCTATGTAGGGCGGTAATGCGTTCTTTTTGTTAGTGTAATGAGTAACGTATTCAGCTATTCTTTTGGGGTAGTGCATGTCACACTGGTTACTTCCAACCAGTTCGTCATTTTCATGCCCACAGCTGCATCTGGCACCCAGTAAGAAGATTGTTTCGCGATCTCTTGCATTTCGCCTCCCAGGCCCAACCTGTCGCAGCACCAGGAGCCGCCGAATCTGCAAAACCTGCAGTATTAGGAGCACCTGCAACAGGCGAAAAACCTGCCACACCAGGTGCACCTGCAGGGCCAGGAGCACCAGTCACACCAACAAGACCAACAGCTCCTGGTGCAACGCCAATAAGACCAGCAGCACCCGGTGCAACACCAACAAGACCAATAGCACGTGTTGCAACACCAACAAGACTAGTAGCACCTGGTGCAACACCAACAAGACCAGTAGCACCTGGTGCAACACCAACAAGACCAGTAGCACCTGGTGCAACACCAACAAGACCAGTAGCACCTGGTGCAACACCAACAAGACCAGTAGCACGTGTGCAACACCAACAAGACCAGTAGCACGTGTTGCAACACCAACACGACCAGTAGCACCTGGTGCGACACCAACAAGACCAGCAGCACCAGGGACTACCCCAACAAGACCAGCAGCACTGGGGACAACACCAACAAGACCGCCAGCACCGGGTACAACACCAACAAGGCTGCCAGCAACGGGTGCACCCGCAATACCAACAAAACCACCACCAACAACAGCAGCAGCAGCTGCTCCAATGGAAGGGCCACTGGGACGTCAAAGTGCCAGTCGTGTTCGTCTTTGGTAAGATGCGAAAATTGGTAGTTTGCTTCAGTGACACGTTGTTGCAGTTTAGTGTCCATTACATACAGCTAGTGCGCAAGAAAGCAGTGTTTTAACGCCTTTGTATTGGAGAGTCCATGTCACAGAATTTTCTGTAATGGCGTTGTTGGTTGTGAGCAAAAAAATCATGATATACGAAAATAAAGAGTTACAATCTTTAACTGGTACAAGTGAACCTGGTACAAGTAGAAATAGAACCCATGCAATCTGTGTGGTAGAGTCAAGTGTTGTCACATATCAACATCAGTGCTTGAAATCACTTCTAAAAACGCTAGGCATAAGTCATATAGAGGAATCGGTCTTGTTAAAAAGAGTAGCATTCCGTGGCAGATAGTGTTGCGACACGGGTCCGGTGGGTCTCGTCGTTGGTAGCTGGCCACACCATCGGACTTGTCCCTTACAACGAGGACCAATGTTTGTATGTGAAAACAGAGAACAGACGTTTATTTACATTAGAGAGAGGTCAATAAGAAAGTTTAGTTACATAATGGCGTTCTTCGTACATGGCGAGCTCTCCATTCGAAAAAGCACCCCGAATGAGCCGGGGGGGGGGGGGGGCTGATTATAAAGGATATGTTCTCCTCAGATCCCTAGATCAGGGAATGCGTACAGATGGCACTGTCCAATCACGGGTCACACATAACCAGCGAGGGTGACGGGCATGTACGGCCCACGTGAACGTCAAATATTGAAGCGTGGTCTCTGCATGGCAATGTGGCACACACGTGGCTCTTCCTCGTCTATGTGTGCCGCTGAGCGAGGGGCCTGAAGCTCATGACAGCATCCATCAAAAGGGCTGCCGTAAACAAGCTTAAAATGGTCTGCCGAACCGCCCGCTTAATTAGCGGGGCGATTTGCGGCCGCTGTCACCGTCATATTCTAAGCAAGATGCTGTACTTGTGATCGTCTCCCGAACTGCTTATGGCGCCGTAGCGGCAAGACGCCTCGCCCTAAGGCAAGGAGGAACTATGAATACATGGCGGACACAGGCCGCTGACTGCTCGGCGACTTGTTTGAACATCAAAAGGAACGCCGATCCCTTGTCAGCTCCGGCGCCAGTCATAGCAGCTTTTCCGCTGGGGAAAAAAGGTCCCGAGGGGCAGTGGCCAGCAAGTGCTGTGCAGCGGGATCTGTATTGCAGCTTGCCGGCTCTTCCTCTATTACTCTTGTCCCGAACACTGGATCCGATGATCATGGACTGATAGAGCGTTGCTCGCTGGAATGAGGTGACCCACTCCATCATAGTTTCCGCACACCCCATATGAGGCTGTTGAAACTGCGCCGAAAGCCACCGACAAACAAGAGAACATACGGCAATTCCCTACCAAGAATCACGAGACTTAGCTCCACCTGTAAAAGTCATTTCCCTCTACCTTAACTTTAATCCTGTGGCCCCCGCCATGTAGCAACACCAAATCAGACACTCTTGAAGCTTTAACAAAACACTTGAAAGAATATTAGATAAATATAAAAAAAGTTAGTAGGCCTTAAATCGAAAAGAAAAAGCAGAAAATCGTTTTGAAGCCTTCGGGGCACTAGGGGTAACGACTCGGACCATCTGCGTTGCCGTTGAGCTTACCCTTCTTGTAATGAATATCAGAAGTGTAGTGTTGAAGAGCTTAGCCCTATAGCGCAGGAGACGGCTATTTTCATGACATGAACTGTAGCCATGTGAGGGGACAGTGGTCAGTCTCTATTGTGAACCTGGGACTGGCGATGAAGCAGGCTAGCTTCTGCACAGCCCAAATAACGCAGACACATTCCTTTTCGGACGCAGGGTAGGCTTCCTCAAGAACCGAAAGCTTTCTACTGGCATACAGTACAAGGTGTTCCTAGTCGTTCTCTCCCCTTTGACAAAGCACGACACCCATACCCCGGTCACTTGTGTTACACTGAATGAATGGCGTAGAGTAGTCAGGTGTGCTCAACACTGGCTTACTTGTCAGTGCCTTCTTAGCGTAAAAAATGCATGTTCCTTGGCCCCATCCCATTGTACGATCTGGGGTTCAGTCTTTCTAAGAGCGTCAGTCAAGGAACTTGCAATGTCAGAGTAACGCGGGATATATCTTTGGTAATAGCCGGCCAAACCAAGAAACGACCGAATGTCCTTCTTGGTTCGTGATTGGGGTAAGTTATCTATTGCAGCCAGCTTCACTTCTGACAGCCGGCGGTAGCCTTGAACTATTAGATGTACTAGATAAGCTACCTCAGTGAGCCCCAATTGGCATTTCGCAACCTTTACAGTTAGGCCGGCCTCACGCAGATGACATAGCACAGCTCACAAGTCTTTCATGTGGGCTACCCAGGATGAAGAAAAATAGCAATATCACCTAGGTACGGGAAGACAATGTCCTCTATACCCTGTAGCACTTTGTCCATTAGGCCAGAAAAACAATAGGGGCCATTCTTTAATCCAAAACTGAAGACCTTCGGCCGGAAAGTTCTCATCGGGGAATAGACACCGCAAGCCTCCCAGCCCTCCCAGTTAGAAGCACCTGCCTGTACCCCTGTATAAATCCGAGGTCGAGACAAAATTGGTACTGCTGACTTGCTCAGGGCTTTGCTCGATATGAGGTGTTGGATAGGTTTGGTCCTTTGTAATTGAGTTGAGCCTCCGGTAGTCAATACACGGCCGGGGCTCCTTCCCTGAGACCTCAACCAAGATCAGAGGCGAGGTATGATCACTCTCCCTGGCTCAATCACTTCTAGCTCGAACATTCGGGTTATCTCCGCGGCCATTATTTCCCGTTGCCTAAGTGCAACACGGTAAGCTTTCAGACGTATTAGATCTAACGATGTCAGCTCAATATCATGAACTAGGGCTGTGGTTCTGCCGGGTGTGTCAGAAAATGTTTCTTTAAAGTCAAACAATAGTTTTTTCAGTTCCGCTTTCTGATTCGGCTACAACTCCGCCTGCTACACCAGGTTGCTAATAGTACTGCCAAAGTCTTTGTTCTCTGTCGTTAACTCCGGGAAATCAATAGGCATTTCTTCCGGTTGATTGAGCCACATGTTTACAGCAGCTTGCCTCTGCTGGTACGGTTTGAGCAAATTAGTGTGGTACACCTGTTGCGTTTTGTGCTTTCCCGGCCCAGTAACTAAGTAATTGGTGTTTGACAATTTCTGAACAATTTCAACAGGGATCTCCCACTTGGCATGTAGTTTGTTTTCAGTGAGGACTTCAGTATCATTATTTTTTACCGTACCCGAAATCTTCGCGTCCGGGCTGTTTTGTCATTCATAATGGCGCTCAGCGTTGCTTTGAGCTCTGCGCATTTCCTGCTCCGCTAGTTCTTTAGGTGCGTGAAGTCGGTCCAACAGCTCAAGCACGTATGCTACAACCGAAGGGTCGTCCGCCCGGCCCTCCCAAGATTCTTCTATAATGCGAAGTGGGGACCGAAAAGTACGTCCGTAAACAAGCTCCGCAGGTGAAGGCCCTGTTGATTCGTAAGGAGCAATCCGAACCGCGATTGTAGCTGCGGGCAAGCAAGCCTCCCAATCCTCTTTGTACTCATGACAAAGGGCTCACTGCAGCCGTTTCATGACTGAATGTACCTTCTCTACGGCATTTCAGTGAGGGTGGTACACTGAAGTTTGGATGATTTCAACGCCACATTTTTTAGAAATGTTGAGGTCGGTGAACTTGTAAAGAGATATCCCTGGTTTGACTGAATTTCTGCGGGGAAGCCTACACGCGCAAAGATGGATAAAAGCGCTTTACCTCTCTCCTCCGAGCTGAGCTCCTTTAATAATACCGCTTCCGGCAATTTCGTGGCTGGGCAGAGCTCTGTGAGTATATGCCAATGCCCGAACTGGGTTGGAGGAAGCGGACTCACTGTATCTATATCTAGCCTGCGAAACGGTTCTGTTATAATGGGGACCAGCTTCATAGGAGCTTTTGCCTTATCCCCTGGCTTGCCAACGCGTTGGCACGTGCCGCAGCTTCTTACGAATGCCTCCATCCACCAGCCAAAAGCACCCGGGCCAGTAAAACAACTCTCGTAACAAACATTATTTTTTTTTTTGGTGCCGAGGTGCCCTGACGACAAACCTCCGTGGACCAGGTGCAACAGCTCCTAGCGGAAAGGATACGGTATGACTAGTTCATTAAACCGTACTTCTTTTCGACTCGTGTACTTTCTGTACAGGGCGCCTCCCTTCTTGGTGAACTGAATATTCTGCTTAGCCACCCCTTCCTTCGCGTCTGGCGTTAGGTTACGGAGAGTGGAGTCATTTTCCTGTTCCGCTATCAGTTCTGTATGACTTACGTTTAACAACTTTATGATGGATTCTGCTTCTCGAGATGCGTCAGGTTCATCCGGTTTCCTACATCTTTCTTTAGATAGTGCATTTTCAGATTCCCTTATTGAGCTGTCGGGTTTGGTGCCAGGTAAAGAAGGCTCCGCTAAAGCTGTTTTCTCTGACACCAGATTTTTACAAACTGCCTCAGCTGCAAAGCTCCCTTGCTTTGGAGCGAGTTAGGGCCTGTACGATGCTCTCACTGAAGCCAATTATTATTTTTCGCCGCAATTACTCTGACTTATTAGAAACCAAATACGGGTACTGCACTCGAAGATGTGCCGCAACGGCAGCTTCAGTGTCTAGAACTCCGAAAGGGCATTCGATGCACATCCACGCACATTCTTATCCACGCACATTCTTCTGTAAACTGACTTTCCTCAACATAAGATGGGTGTACTGCATCCACGCGGCATAGTTGGCCATTCACGACTAGGTCTTGGATGTATGGTTCTAGAAATTTTTTGCTTTCGTCGTCACTACAGAGCGACATTAACACAACTTTCGGGTTCTTACAACCTAGATAAATGTCTGTTGGCAGTTGTAGCAAACTATCGGTTTCTTGGCCTCGAACGCCTTTTTTTGCTGCCCTTCCACCCTTTTCTCTGGTGCTTCTTCGTTTCGCTTGTTGTTCTCAGCACCACTTCCTTTGGAGTCTAACC